AGACAGACAGACAGACAGACAGACAGACAGACAGACAGACAGACAGATAGACAGACAGACAGATAGACAGATAGACAACATATAGACAGATAGACAGATAGACAGATAGACAGATAGACAGACAGATAGATAGATAGATAGATAGATATATATTAGTGAGCTGGATAACTAGAAGACTAAGCAATGTGCCCAACTTCTGTTTTGATTTGATATGTGGCTACATCTAGGCATAAGAAATGTCACTATTGAAAAATGGGTGGCCACATCAAAATCCAACATGGCCATCACCATATTGTTCCAATAACAATTCCACTGTTCAAACCCTTCAGGGACTGGGGACATCGGCATACCACTTGTTTTCATTTAATCACTCAATCCATTGCATGTAGCCATAGAATAAGAATTCTTATTTGAAGTAAAAAAAAAAAAAATGAAAAAAAAAAAAAAAAATCACAATAACTTTTTTTTTTTAAAATAAATTGGCATACCATAATTAAACAAAGCTGCAGTTAGACTTCAGGACGAAGTAATAATTTTAAACAAATGTCTATGTGGATTGTGCAACTCGATACCATCAGAACCGTATCTATCAAGGTTATTTATAATAAACTGTACTCCTTTTAACTGTTATATGATTAAATGTTAGTACCTGTGAACAACAAATAATACCTAATAAAATTTTGATTTGATGAACGACATGATTTTCACATTATAGGACAAAGTCCGAGCTAAACAAATCTCCTGATTTTTGAGCTAAAAATAGTGATGAACCACTTGATGAACTGAAGCTTGGACTTGAGCTCTGAGCAGGAAGACCAATTTTAAATGAAGCCACATTTCAAGGCTTGTCTCATCCTCCCAGAAAGCACAAGATGGGACGATGAAGCCTCGGACCAAGTACACACCTGACAGTGTTTCACCTGGTGAATTGTTCTGCCTCAATGATTTTAGTCCCAGTAGTTTCAACAGAAATATGTGGAAATCAAACGTAAAAATCAAGAAACCGTTAAGTTGATGCTAAATGCTCATTAGATGGCCACCCATCCAGATCCCCATTCTGCTGGAGTTTTCTTCCAATTAAAAAGGGAGATGTTCCTTTATATTAGTTCTGCATGTGAAACACTAGTTTCGGCTGTCACCAGCAAACTGGTTGAGCCACTATGAGAAGGTGCCATTTATAGACTGAATTTGCTTGCAGCTCCTAAGGCTAAAGAAGTCTTTTGAATAAATGATGAAATGTTTCACCAAAGAAGAACAAGTACAGAGGACCTGACTTAACCTTGTTAGACTCATCTACCTGTCCTGGATTATTGAGCATCAGGACATTCTTTTCTACTGTTGCCAACAATGTGCAGCTCAGGATGGGAGACTGCAATTAAGTAAAGATTCAACACAATCTATTTAGATAAGGGATGCCCAATATTATCGGCATGGTATCAGTACCGACCGATATTAGCGGTAAAGTTAAATATCAGCCATTCCATCAAAATAACTCAGATATAAAAGGCTTCCGTTTTAAGTTAATATTTAATTTAAGAAACTGTCACGTATATCTATTAATGCACTACTACTTATGCGCTTTTCACTTATCGCTCGTGAACAGGTTGAGTTTAGATTTGTGAAAATTTAAAGCTATGTCTCTGTAAGTAGGTCTGGGAAAAAAATACATAAATCAGTATTGGTATCGGTTATCGGTAAAATAAGATTGAACATATTGGCATATCAGATAGCAGCCAAAAATCCAATATTGTGCTTTGTGCATCCCATATTTAGATAAATAATTTTTACTAATTGACATTTTGAATGTATGTGAAGGTTTATGTACTGTGTCCTACACTGAGGTATGTTGTGTATCAACGCTATATAAATAAACTGAATTGAATTGTTTCTCGTTGAAGGATTTTGTCTGATCTGTTGCAGTCTGGATCTTTTAACACACTCAGGAAGTGTTTTATTCTGAACTATAAAACCAACTCTTCCAGCACACAAACTTCCAGATTAGTTAACACACGTGCGTCAGCGCACAGGTTCACAACTGAGAACCAATGCATCAGCTCACACTCCAGGATCCAGTCCTGGTTTCACACATGGACCTCCACCCCCTCTGCAGTGGTCAAGGGGATCAAACCAACACCACCCACAGATGGTTGTGATCAGGCTGTCCGTCCTGCACCAGTCCACAGATGTGTCATTTTTACATCGGCTACCTGGTGTTTCCAAACTGGTAGTTTCACATGAGAAACTAGAACTACCTCTCAAGAGCCAAGGCCCAACCCCGACCCCGTGTTGTCATGGTAACTGTCAGCTGACACATCACCTGGCGTCCAGGAGAGCGTGCTGCACTTCACCTGTCAGGGTGATCATGTATGTTCACCTGTGTGTCACGTGACCTGAGGCGGGTGTACACGGTGACAGTGCGAAAAGTTTCAGACTAGGTCACTGAGTTCACCGTGCGTAAACAGACGTTACGTAAGCAACCAGGAACCGGGCTTAAAAAAAGACCATCCTCTGGATTCTCTGAGCCAACATCTGGCGCTGACACAAAGAGGAGTCACGTCCATACAGATGCTGTACACATCTCTACTAGCGTTAGCAGCTTCAGCCCGAGCAGAGCTGAACAACAAGCTGAGCAGCGTCAGAGATTAACCCCGAACCGAGCTCTGTCTGCGGCGGACCGAGCTCTTGTTCACCCGCCGGCAGGACCGGACAGAGTCAGCGGACCTCCCGGAACCAACAGCCGCTTACCGAGGCCATGTCTTTGGCGGAGAAGTTCATGAAGTCAGCGCAGGGAGCGAACGGCGGATCTCTTTCGGTCTGTGCCGCCGCCATCTTTCATCCTTCTTTTTCTTCTTCGTCTTCTTCTTCGGGTTCGGCGCTAGACGCATCAGCTGCGAATTGTTGACTTCTTCTTCTTCTATTCTTTAATGACGGATCGTAAACCGCTCAGAGTTGTGTATCGCCACCTACTGTACATGTGTGTGTAACGCATCCACCACGGTTCAGTTTAGTGTTCTGTTGATATGAAAACTATTATAGATTTATATAAAACAAGTGGGGCAGCACGGTGGCGCAAATGGTAGAGCTGCTGCCTCTCAGCGAGCAGGTCCCTGGTTCAAACCCCAGTCCAGGGGCCTTTCTGGGTGGAGTTTACATGTTCTCTCCGTGCATGCATGGGTTTTCTCCGGGTACTCCGGTTTCCTCCCACAGACCAAAAACATGCATGTTAGGCTGATTGGTAACTCTAAATTGTCCCTAGGTGTGAGTGAGAGAGTGAATGGTTGTTTGTCTCGTTTGTCTCTATGTGGCCCTGTGATGGACTTGCGACCCGTCCAGGGTGTACCCCGCCCCTCGCACAGTGATTGCTGGACATGGGCACCGGCGACCCCCGTGACCCAAAATGGAATAAACGGGTAAAGATAATGGATGGATGGATAAAACAAGTGGCTGAGGCTGGTTCCCTCCATGTTCCTTTCTGTTCCCTAACTGCATTCTCTTCTTGTCCCTCCTGTTTCCCTCAGCCTCTCTTTTCAGATGCTAAACAATCAAAACATCTACCACATTTTCGGTTTCACTACATCTCTCACCTTTGTTATTGCTCTTACAGCAAGTCATTTAGATAAGCATGAGCTATCCCAATCTCATCATTTACACCTATTATCTTATTTTTCTACTCCATATTGTTATTGGGTTTTGGATTTTGTATACGTTTCTCAATTTATTGTCTTCATTCCACCTTTTCTGACATATTTCCATTTCTTTTTTATTGATTATTGATTTATCCTCCCATTAAATTAAATATTTTGTGAATTGGGAACCCAATACAACCAAAATAGCTCTTTTCAGCAAGTTTGTCTGCCATTTCATTACCTTTCGCCCCATTATTCAATCATTCAACCTTTATTTATACAGGTTAATCCCACAGAGCTTCGGGGACTCGTTTACAAGAGAGACCTGATTTTAACAAAGAATGATGACAACAGCCGACACCAACGACAATCATAAAAGAAAGCACACAAGTTGCGAAGAACAGATGAAAGAAATTTTATTTAACAAATGAAACAAAAACAGCTTGGATGTAAGGTGATGTAGAAAACTGAACATGTTGGTTTTTGCCAGGAACTTAACAGATGTTTGAAGCCACTTAGAGAGGTCAAGGTCGAGAGCTTCAGATCTTTTTGTAAGATATTCCAGGAAACAGGAGCGGAGTAGGAGAAGATCCTTTTACCTAGTTCAGTCCTCACTGAGGGAACACTGCAGGTAATAATGTCCTGAGAGTGCACGCTGTAGCTGCACTCATGCAGAGACATGTAGGAGGAGACGTATGAAGGCAACAGACCAAGAAGTGATTTAAAGATGAAAATGTACCAGTGGGAGAGTCTATGTGAAGTTAATGATGACCAGTTAACCAGTGAAGGTGCAGTGATAGGTACAATACCTGTAGTTACAGCCAGTTATGAATCTTAGTGTACCATGATAGACAGCGTCCAACATCTTCAGGGTGCTGGGGTGTTCATGTAAATGTCTAGGTCTATACTGGGTCCTTTCTGTTGTTTCCTGTTGTCTGTATACTTTCTAGGACTGCTTTTGAATCTGTGCACACCACAACCCTATCTGGTCTAACCTCCTCCACTTGCTGTAGGCTCATGATCACCGACACCATCTCTGCTGTGAAAACAGGCATTTGAATATGCAGGTTGGAAACTGGTATAAACCTATTCCCACACTGTCCTTTGTGTTCTTAGAGCCACCCAAATATATTTAAGGTAGCTGAAATAAGAGCTTAAGGTATAGACTAGCATACACTACTTCATTCAGTTTCCAGTCTTTTTCCATTTCATGGACACATGTCCACTTGTATCTCAGGATATAACTATGGAGGAACTACACTGACTGGATTATTCTGATAGAACTTCTTGTCCCATTAAATTTAGCCCAGTCGTTTCCTGTCCACCCAAACACATTTGTCTGGTACTTGGAGTGTTCCCAGCAGCTCTGTAGTATTTTTGCAGAGCTAAGCTCCACAAGTTTTTTTTTGCTTCTTCCTTTGAATTTTATTGGGTATGCTAGTCACAGATTTATTCTTCTAATTTCCAGCTGAATCCCACCAGTCTATTATTAGAGCATTTATGGGAATTGTCTTCATTGCTTCTACACACACTCACTTAATGTACTGCACTGTAATCAGTCTGCTATTTGTGATGATGATGATGTTGCTGCTGCTCCATAGATAGTACATCCTTAATCTAATGCTGATCTCATGAGTGCCCTGCAGATATTTAGCAGTGACTGCTTATCTGCCACCCAGTCACATCTGGCCATGTCAGTCATGATTATTATATGTTAGGTGTATTCTAACATGATTTTGTGTTGAATGATCCCGAAGTGGCAGACTGAAAAGACACAGACTCAGGTATACAAATAAGTGTTTGTTAATTTACAGTGCGGGAATCAGGTACTTGGCTGCGGAGGGAAACAGGACCTGAAAACAAAGCAGGAGGACATTTGTCTAAAGTCCAATTTCCCTGTAATCAGATCTGATATCTACAGCAACAACTGTGTTCGTCAGCTCTACACATGTTCTCAAGTTCCTGATACCCTAAAATATAAAAGACAAACTTGCTGCCACTGAGCTGTGTTCCTGTCAGGTGCAGTGACTCAGAAAGATGACATCGTGCCCAACAGAAATACAACCCCAATGCAAAAACGTTGGGACATTGTGTAAAATGCAAACAAAACCAGAATGCAATAATTTGAACATCTCATGATCTCATATTAATCCATAATAGAGCACAGCAAACATGTCAAATGATTAAATGAAGAAATTGTACCATTTGTTGTAGGAAAAATAAAGAAATTTAGAATTTTATGGCAGCCTCACATCTCAGCAGGACAGGACAAGGGGACTGAAAGTCCTTTAAATGAAGGGGCGAGTCAGTTTTCAACATTTTCACAAGCATACAAAACATACCCAGTACTTATTTTGGAGGACCCCCCCCCCACCACCACCAAAAAAAAAAGTATTTTACATTTGCAGTCAAGTACCTCCCTCTACTGTTTATGACATATTAAATTATTGATTTTCAGGCTAATACTGTGTTTTAAAACTGATGTTATAAGTATGAGTTACATTATAGAAAGACACCCCCCCATAAATAAATAAAGCACACAGCATAATTAGTAATTTCTAGCCCTTTTAAAAAAAAAAAATGGTTGATGTGATTTGTAAAAGTTATTTGAATTTTATGTAACACAAGTTCTGAATTAATGTATCTATTGTATGCTTCTCTATGTTCAAATATTTCTGTTTTTACACAAATGAAAGTTAAGTCCATCTCAGGATCATTTAGTTTTATTTGACCAGAAGAGCAATTTTATTAAAAAATAAAAAGACAATTTAGAGTCGGGTCACGGAGGCAACAGGTCCAGGAGAGAAACCCTGTCATCCCTCTCCTCAGCAACATTCTCCAGCTCCTCCTGGGGGGACCTCAAGATGTTCCCAGAGATGATACACAATCCCTCCAGGAAGTTCTGGTTCTGCTCCGGGGCCTTGCCCCAGTGGGACTTGCCCAAAACACCTCTAAAGGGAGGGGAGGCATCCTAATCAGAAACCTGAACCACCTCAACTGACTCCTTTCGATGTGGAGGAGCAGCGGCTCTACTCCTAGCTCCCCCCAAATGACGGAGCTCCTCATCCAATCTCTAAGGATGAACTGGACCACCCTACGAAGGAAGCTCATTTCAGCTGCTTGGACCCAGGTCCCTTTTTCTTTAGTTAACGATCCAAACCTCATAGCTCAGTAAATAAAGAGGTCCTGGGTTCAAATCCCAGCAGTGTCCAACACTGTAGTTCCTTTGATTATAGAAACTTTCAGAACTCGACATCTACCAGAGGCACGAGTCTGACACTGATTATATTCTCAAAATACTTTTTATACAAAGTTTTAAATATTTTGACAGTTTCAGATTTATTTATTTTAAAAAGTTTGCAATTGATTTTTACTTAAATTAATCATGTCCATTGAATAGCTGAAATTATAGTAGTTTTTATTTTTTGCTTTGAAAACTACAAACTATTAAAAAAGAACATAGCATCAAAAGGTAATAAACTTTACACTTCTTTGACCTCGGGTATTTTGGTAACGTCTCTGATTACTGGAGCACTTGTGTCTCTGAGGAAATCTAATGATTCTGATTCATATCAGGTAAGAACAAGTCCTCACTCTTTATTTGAACCTGCAACTCGGGTGCGATCTTCAGAGAGGACACAGTAGTACAGCAGATGATAGGAAACTTCTACAAATTGCAGTACAAGCACTAAATATGGCGATTTTTATTGATTTATCAAATTTGGCCCGATTGGCCATTTGAAAATCTAAGATGGCAGCCATTTTTTCAAGATGGCTGACAAAATAAACATATTTTTGAACAGTAAATGTATGGAAATGCAGCTATACTTGATGGATTTATATGATCTTTGTGTCAGTCTTTGATTTCTTCTTTCAGTACCTTGTACTATGAAAGTAACACATACTGTATGAGTAAATTAATAATATTATGATAATAAATTCACTATCCTGGATTTTTAAATGACCAAATGGACAGAACTGTTCAGATGACTCTGGGGAACAACTACAACAAATCTGGTGCTTGTTTCACATTTTGCACATTTCTTGTTCTAAACTGGTTTTAACGGCTCCACTACTTCACTGGTTCATGTTTCTGTCTGATCCCTGCAGGATGTTTGTTTCCAGGTATAATCCAGATCCAGGTTCAGATCTTTACCCCGTCCTACTCAAAGGTCTCTAGTGTGGGTTCGTGTCCCGTCTCCTTGAGGAAGCGAATCAGGTCATCTGGTCGGAGCCTCATGGTGGCGGCATTGGTCATTGGGTGGAAGTAGACCATCTGGTGACCTCCTTCCACCAGGTCTCGGTCTAGGACAAACTTTACACTCTTGTCCTTATCAAAGAGCAGAGCGAGAGCTGTTGCACAGCCCTGACCCACCTGAGAGGAGGACAAAGCAGGAAGGAAGTCAGAAAACACAAAACTGATGGATGGAAGCAAAATTACTTCCGGAAAGAAAAATCAAACTTAAATGCCTTGCATTCCTTTAAACAGGGGTTCTCAAACTTTTGGGGTTCAGGGACCCCTTACAGGAGAGAAAAAGTTTCAGGGACCCCCTCATAACCTATTAAATAATTTTCTTCAATTTGTCTCTTTGATGCAATGGAAATATTTGTGTAACATTAATTATTATTAGACCTTGAATTTATACAGATTAGTTCCCATTGAGCCTCAATGACTCATTTACAAGCGAGACCTGTTACAGACAACATACAGGCAGATGAGAAAAAGAGAACACGAGGGTGGAGGAAGCCAAAAAAGATCATGTCTCACACCATGTCCTGACCGGGACACAGTATAAAAGATGCAAAGAAAGACCTCACAACATGAAACAGCAACATACAATGACATCATAATACATTTATGCAAAGAGGTCGACAAAGACGGTGAGTTGTCCATAAACACTCCAGAAAGTTCCAAAGTTCTGATAAGATGGTGCAGTGTCCATCAGCATCATGGTTCTGACAAGGCTACAGATGTCCTCAGGAGGTGGGGGGGCAGGCAGAGCTTCTAGTTTACGTATCCTCCAGCAGCAGTTTGAGATAAGTTGGCCTCCAAGGCCAGCATGGAGGTCAAATTAAGATAAAGAACAATTGTTTGGGCCGCCAGACTCTGTTTTCTGTCTGCCTTCAGTTCTGCTGGTGCACTCAATGGTGAATCCAAACAGACACATTTATGGACATTCCACCCGGTCTGTGCCCGTCTCCAAGATCGAATCCTTCATGCCGGAGAGTTCCAGGAGCAGACCTGTTCTTAAAATAGTGTTAATTCAATTTTTATACTTTTAAACATGGGGTATTTTTCATTCAAGACACAATTAATGAACAACATTTTTACTTTCGACGTCCAAAAATGACAGTTTTGAGAAAGTTAACCGAATCAAAAACCACTTTAAAACTTTACCTGTTCACATAATGAACAGAATAAATGTATCATCACTTCTTCAAATTATTACAGAAAACTCTTCACATAAAACTGAACAGAATCATCAGTAGTCATACCAAGTAACAGGGATTCATTTATAAACTGATCGATGCCGGAACGCAAATAGTGGGCGGGGCAGGGTCCACCCCCCCCCCCCCACACACACACACAAAAACCTTGAATAAAGTAGATGTGATTTCCTGCATTGAGGTGTATTTTAATGGGTTGTTAAACATTTACGTGCTTGTATCTTTTAGTTTTTTGCGGACCCCCAAGAACCGATTCGCAGACCCCCAGGGGTCCGGGGACCCCAGTTTGAGAACAACTGCCTTAAAAGAATGCATATCACCCACTGTCTTTCATGCCAGAGTTTTAGACTAAGGTCACCTTATGGTGAGAAATGATGGAGTTACAGCCATTTTGATCCAACTATGAAATAATAATACGTGCAGTCTCGTGTAATGTTGCAGTATATAGCACATGCTGGTGAAGTATATTATATAAGTATACAGCACATGCTGGTGAAGTATATTATATAAGTATATAGCACATGCTGGTGAAGTATATTATATAAGTATATAGCACAGTCTCCTTTGAGCACTTGGTGTATGTGTTTTCAATCCATGTCTGGCAGCACCGCACAACATTTGAGCTCATTGTCTGTAAAATTCACCAAGGTAAAGCCATTTTGGAATTAGCTATGGCTAATCTTGAGCTGGATTCACTCCAGAAGTTAATCAGTTGTAGATGTGCAGCCAGTAAATAATTACTTTATAAGAGTTTATTTGAACTATTTTGGTTCAATGTCTATAACGCTAACTGAGTTGTAGCCATTTCTGTGTTTGCTAAGTTTGCTTTTCTGCGGCGGCCGTCCTGAATCAGGTTAATTCTAAAAGTAAATCTGTTGGCGTCACCCAAATGACTACTTTCTGAAAGTTTCAGAAAAATTTGTTCAGTGATTCATGAGATCCGTTGCTAACAGATAAAGACACACACAAACATTACGGCTTCACGTCTGACGTGATAACAAAGACAACACCTTCAATATACACGTTTTAGAGACTCTGAATGTGTGCACGTTTCAAAAACATATTTAAAGTTGTTGCTCACGCTCAAAAAGTTCTGGTCACTTTCTTTCAGACGTGCTTCCAAGCAGCCAGAGTTTCCAGTAATGTTAAACCAGGTGCAGAAAATTGTTTGGGATTTTGTGTGACCACCTTGAGTTTTTCCAGCATCGTCGCCTCGTCTGCAAATCGCAGGTTTCCGCTGCCGACACCGAGCTTCTTGGCAAGGTCGCTGAGGTTCACCTGCAGACAAACGGAGGTTTGGAGTTTTCTCAGGTGAGAATATTGTAGTATGACATATCCTGAGATATATTCATACATTAAACGGGTTCACTCATCTTTCTGGACTGTGTGATGTTCGTGCGTTGAATTCAACAGAAATGTGGACGTGAGACGTTAATTATCTTTGACTCACCAAGCGAGTGGGTCATTTATTAACAGAATCAAGTTTAACACATCACACATTTACATTAATTTGGCAGAATATGAAAACAACAACATAATTAATCAGCTTTTACAACCAGGAAACCATACGGCCATGGTTTTCCGTTGTTACACCACAGACATTAATGAAAACATCTGGATTAATTTTCTAGCAGATAGGAGAGTTAAAGATGGAAAGATGAAGTTTATCTGAGAGAGATGTGTGAGGGAATTTGTCTGTTTTAACCAGAACAGCACGCTCCATTGAAATCAGCTTGGGCCAACGGTACGCTTGGTCGAAATAGAACTTTTACCTTGCAGACGATAGCTTCAGCGTCGGTGTAGAGCTCTTCTTTTGACTCTTTTCAGCGTCTCCGTGAGAACAGCTAAAACCTTAGGAGTCGTGTGAGGTTATCCAAACAGAAGTTATAATTCCCAAAATCGTCTCTGGTTCAGCTTGTTTGGTTTAGCAGCATCCATGAATGCCTGCGGTTGCATTCACGGACTCCCAAACTCCCTGCACTCTGGATTCCACAACTCTTGAACTCTTCTGGAACTCACTTGTTGAACTGGAAAGTTGCCACATTTAAACGGGCTATACTTCCGGTTCATTTGAGAGCCTCTGATTGGTGGATGGACCAGAACAGAGGTGTGGTTTGTGATGTAAGGTGTTATGGAAAGTCAAGGATAGAGATTAAGATTGTTTAAGAACAGACAGAAAGATTGTTGGAGAAAACCAGTCTTAGTGGCGTCTCTACTCAGTATCTTGCTGTAAAAGTTAAACATGACATTTCTTTTCAGTAAACTTCTTAGTTGACCGAAACCTGAACTCTAACACACTTACAAACTTGCTCACTTTCAAAGCAGACGATCAAGAAATTGAATCATTACTCTGTAATGTACTCTAACTTGATTTCACTTTGAATTGAGGAATAAAAATCATTACTACTGTTTAAGTAAATAAAAATGAGTAGTTCACTTCAACATGTAAACATTGTTTGAACTAACACAATTGTAGATGAACAGATGCTGGGATATATTCATCATTTAACGCGAGTTCCTCATTTTTCTGGACTGAATAAAACGTGCACTGAATTTAAGGAAATGCAAAGTGAGACGTCGTTTAAATTTGACCCATCAAAATGAATGCGGTCATTTATTTACAGAATCAAATTTAACATCAAACATTTACATTAATTTGGCAAATTATGAAAATAACAATATAAGCAATCAATCAGGAAAAATCATACGGCCATGATTTTTCCGTTGCTGCACCACAGACATTTATAAAACTGTACAACTATGATCTTTTACCCACATGAATGTGGGTGAGCATTTTACACAGACATTTCTAAATATCTGGAAGAATTTCTACTTGATAGAAAAGTTTAAAGATGGGAAGAAGTTTAAAGGGAGTAAGATTGAATGTGAGGGAAATTAAGTGTTCTCCAGAACCGACACTCTCCATCAGAAGCCCAGCTCGCCTCGGTACGCTTGGTAGGAAACTTGACCCATTACCTCTCTGATGATAATCAGCAGATATGGTGTTCCGTTAACGCTACCGGTCCAGCGTCTCCTTAGAATGGCTGTTGCCCGTCAGAAGTAGTGGCGAGGCTCTGTTCGACACACATTCACCTCAGTGGAAAATGTTATAATCCCATGGAACTCGGAAGAGCTTCGTTGTCATGTCAGGAACTCCAACAGCACTCCATCAGAACTTTAGCTCTCGTGTAGTTTACAGAACTCCCACAGAACTCTTGAAGTCTGACAACTCTCCAACTCTGTAACTCCGTGAGTCTCTGAGTCTGTGTAAACCAGGAAGTACTGACATTTTAAAGACTCTTTCCCGGTTCACTTTTTGGGATTTTTCATTGGTCAGAAACGACCAGAAGGGGTGTGTTTTTGTGACGTAAGAGGTTAGAGACAGCGAGAATTGTTATGAGACAGCTCAGAAATGTTCTCACAGACCGAGAGGGTTCTGTTTTGGCGTGCCTTAAGAAACAGGTGCAAAACATCTCTATTTACGTCTGAGAGGATTCTAAAACATGACAGTTTTAACATAACAACTTGTTTTTCGTTTGACTGTAACCTTGTAAACGCACACACTTGCTCATTCAAAAGCAGAAATCAGAAAAATGCATAAACTCTGCACAGCTTTTAACATGAGAATAAAATCATTACTCAGTTAATAAAATTGATTAGTTCACTGCAACATCTAAAATGGTTTGAACTAAGACACTTTGATTATCAACATTTGTAAGATAGTAATGATAATAAAAAGAGAGTGTTCTTTTCACTTGAATCTTCAAGAAAGAAAGTCTCAGGATGGGTGAACCTGTATTTATGGAGTCAAATACATGAAATGACAGCTTCTGTCCCACAAGGTTCTAAAGGTCAAGAGTTTTGACCTTAGACTGGGTTTCGACGTAGGCTTAGTCCACTACACAATTTGATTATCAAAACATTTGTAAAATAGTAATGATCATAGAGAATTGTCTTTTCCACTTGATTAATTCAAGACAGAAAGTCTCAGGATGGGTCAAACTGTATTTCTGGATTCAAATCAATGAAATGACAGTTTCTGTCCATCTGGTCAGTTTTGACATCATGCTTAGTCCACTACAATATTTAGTTTTTAAAAGAAGAGGCGTTGAGGAGGAGCCAGTCAGCTGACCTGTCGATCATGGCGAGCCGACACGAGCCACAGGCCTTTCTTCTTCTTGTCCTTCAGGAAAAGGTTCTTAGTGACGGCGCCGCTGACTTCCTGCAGGTGAGGCATCATCTCCTCCACTGTGAACACCTGCAGCGAGGAGAAACTGACAGGGGTCAAAGGTCAGCAACGTGGAGGAGCAACATCATGACATTTCTTTTCTCTCCAAACAGCTCCACTCATTTTTGAAAAACTGCTGGTGAGACTAAAGTGTCGTGACTGAAAGCTTTTATATTGCTTTTATCACAAAATATTTGTTTTAATTGAAAAATCTGTGTTTCTGTTTGTTCCTCTGGAGAAAGAGAGGAAATAAAAGGAGATTAGTGACTAGAGGCCAGCTGCAGAACAGTTGCAGCTGTTTTATTTCACTGTTTGTCTTTAAGTCACTACATCAAAATAAATCAACAAAATTTAAAAAATCTGGAAGTTATGAGTTACTAATATTTTTACTAAAATAGGTCTTTATTTGATCTGAAGTCATTTTAATGTCTACTATTGCTTTTTTTAACTAAGGTAGAAGTTTTAAAAACTTCTTCAGCTTAAACTTACCTTGAAGGATGCTAGTTAGTATGCTGGATAATACTGATTTAATTAGTTTACTGTTTACAGCATTCCAATCACAATCCTCCTTACTGTTAATTCCGCTCATGACAGACAGAACAGCAAAATAAAGCAGTTTAAAGCAAAAGTGTAAACGTAATTTTATAAGTCATGGCCGAACATTTAGAATCTATAATGTGACCTGTATTGTTATCCAGCTGTTTTTGTCTGCAGTTTTTTTAGCCGTCACAGCGTGATTGAGATGTATTGTGGCGCCCTCTGCTGGTTTGGTTTGGTCAATGCATCACAAACGTGTCACATCATTTACGAAAACAAGTTTACAAAATATAGGTAACAAAATAATAATATCCTAATAATTAATATTATCTAAAGTTTATAGCTCTGAGTAAAATAAAACGAGAGCTAATGTTAAAGTTTTTTTTGTTGTTGTTGTAGTTTTATAAGATGCCTTAAAAAGTTGTTCACCAAATTAGGTAAAAAAAACAACCTATTTTACAAATATGTTGGCTCTGTGCAACTTTATTACAAAGAATAAACAATTATGATTTTAAAGATTTATTGCAAAATTCGGCTTCCAAACACAAGGCAATAATAACTTTTAATTGTGTTCACTTGCTTTTATGAATAAGGGAGTTTCAGAGCTCAGAATGCAGTGATGTTGACGACTGTCAAATAAAAGTACAGTAAATTCTCCTTATACTAATCAGCTATGCCGATTTAAAATGTGAGACTTTCCAAGTCAGAAACTGTCTTTATACCTACTGCATAAAATTATTATAGAGAACGCAAATCAAATTTAAATATATCAGGAAAGCACGTTCAGACCACGGAACCTTTTTTCTCTGGTTTCAGTTTTTACCGGTGGGTGTTCCACGCTGCTCGTCTGGATGTTTAAACTTTGCAGATATTTCTCCAGCTCAGCGCGCAGATCGTCGGACATGACGGCGGGTGTTTAATGAAGAAAATAAAAAAAATTAAAAACCAGCAGACAGAACCGAAACCGTGAACGTCAGAAACAGCTGCACTTCTTCTTCCGTGACGTTTTACGGGAAAACAAATACTGAAAAATATTTATACTGCCACCTGCTGGACATCGATAGATGAATCAGTATTTGTTTATTTGTCAGTTACGTTTTGTTAATGACACATTTGAGCAACATCTAATAAATACATTATTTAGTTTACACACATATTTTCTATTTACATTAATATTAACAAATATTCACATTTATTTATTGTTTTGTGGTCTTTTTGGTGATGATAAAAAGTAAGTCTAAATAACCTAACTTCTTTGTTTTCTCTCACCACAGTCCAGTTATTGCTGGGTTTTAATGTAAACAATCAGATTTTGGTTGATTTACAGCTGTGGGTGTTTGCGGTTTAAAGAACAGGCTGGGACAAGAAGGAGCCGCCTGTCGTGAGACTCTTTGTTTCTAGCTGTGAGGAGTTAACATCTGAAGGTCATTCTGTCAGTGTCCCACTTCCACCTGACTGATGTTTTTAATATTATGAAACACTGAAGCATTAACTCACCTCTCTGATTAACACAAGCTCGACCTAGTACTGGGTCTGTCACTCTTTCAGTAAATGGACATTACAAAACTCTTCAGATTTGGGTCAGAACAGCATCACCATGCAAGTGAGGTGAGACCCAAACATTTACTGCTGGAAGTACAAACTAATCCAGCTGTGCACTGTCAATGCACTGAAGATAAAATCTACACTCACGTGCGTTTATTGTCATAATGGTCGGTAGCAAATAGACTCACAGATGCTGACAGAGAAACCAACACAAAAAGTCCAAGTTCAAGGAGTTTTATTTTACAAGATTAGTTGGAGCAGTTGATCTCGAGGTGTTGTCTCTAATGTGTCACTTCTTTCAGCTTTTCTCTAACGTTTAACACATTGGCGTTTTGTGGCTTTTCTTTTTAAGCGTGCATTTGACTTTTTAAACTTTTGGCCAGTGTTTTTTACATTTAGGTTTCTGTTTGTGTTTTGCTACTTTTAGCATTTTAGATATTAGCTGATTTTGCCACTTTTAACATTTAGCTTTAACTAGCTAAAAGTTTTAGTAGCTTTTTTAAGCTTTTAGCTGGCATTTTGCTTTTTTTTCTGCTTCTAGTTTAGCTAGCCTTTTACAATTTTGTTTTTAACTTTTGAGGTAGCTTCATGACAGTTTTATCAAGTGTTTTGTTACCAATATTTCAAAGAGCGTTGAGATCAAGGAGTGCAGACAGAACACGGGGACTCAAAATCAAACAAAAACTGATTTATTAAACTAAACTGCTGACGTGTCAGTGGTACATACCAAAATACAAGGACTGGAAAACTCGAGAAGAAACACAATGCAGGGAATCCAATCTGTCTGTAGGAAGCGCTGTGCAGAGCTAAGGAATAAACTGAGGAACACGGAATATGAAGAAACACGTGTGAACCTGAATCACAGGGAAGAGACAGCTGAGAGCAGGTGACAGTGAGCAGGGAGGAGAACTGAGAGGTCAGATCACACCAATGAAGCACATTGAGGAACAAAAAAACACTGAGAAACGATAAGATTCTACATAAAATAACACAAATCAAATAAAAAAATAGTAACGATAACCCAAGTCCTGAGAACTTTCAGTTTTTGTTTTGCTCATGTTCTCTCCGTACATGTGCGGGTTTTCTCCGGGTGCTCCAGTTTCCTCCCACAGACCAAAAACATGCATGTTAAGCTGATTGGTAACTCTAAATTGTCCCTAGGTGTGAGTGAGAGAGTGAATGGATGTCTAATTTGTCTCTATGTCCCTGTGATGGACAGGAGACATGTCCAGGTGTCCCTCACCTCCGCTGGATATGGGCGCCAGTGACCCCCGCGACCTGAAAAGGAAGAAGCGGGTCAAGATAATGGATGGATGGATCATATCAACTCCTCTTCTCCTTGTCTTAGCTTCATTTCTTCTTGTTTCCATTTTACCAGCTCAGTTTGAGTTTCAACATATTTGAACAAAGTAATTCATCTGTGCAGAAAATGTCATTTCTTCAGTTCGTGTTGTTTCATTCAGGTCACAGTTATCTCGCCTCTGTCCTGCAGATGCGGCAGAAGTACAACAATTATTAAATGTTCTATTTTTCTAATTTATTTTAGTAAGACTACCTGAGAATTTAAAACAGCACATCTGGAGGGTGGGAGGTGGGGGTGAATGAACACGTGATATGTTGGATCAAAGAACATTCATCCTCCAGGAGTCGCCCAGATGTCCTGAGATACAAATTATTTCCATCAAATGATTCTGTTGGTGGACATGATCTCCATGGGGCTCTCACATGGTCATTATTAAATGTTCTGCCATCCTTTTTCCACCAATTTGCTTATTAAAACCTTTGAAAACCTGCCTTTGGCTGTTCGTCCTCATTCATTTCATTGAACAGTGTGTGCAGCACTAATTATATCCACTGTGCATAAATATCTTATTTATTTTTTATTTCAACCTTTAAAGAAACCCATTGAGATTATTAATCTCTTTAACAAGGATGTCCTGGGGACATCTCTTTGTACGAACACTGGAAGAAAACGAAAGCCCCACGAGTTCCAGGAAAAAGTGGATCTGTTGTAGCTGTACGTAAAATATTTTCTGATTGTTTCACTAAATCGGTCAAATGTTCATGAAATATTTTGTTAACTAGGCAAACAGATTGTGAGTATTCCAGGTCCTGTTTGCCTGCATATGTCCATTAACCCTACTGTCTGTAGTTCCTGAGTGACAGAGTTCATTAGCTGCAGCTGATGCTGATGGACTGATGAGCTCTAGCTCTCCCCAGAACCCAGTGCTGGACCGATGGTTACCTAACACAGCCTCTGTGTGACTTCTTACCTCCAGTGCCTCAAGTCTGTGCCTGCAAAGTCCCAGTTTCCTGTAATCTCGTAGTCTGGACTATAGTTTCTCCTAACTTCTTACCCCATGAAAATCCCATGTTGTCTTGTCTGGTGCTGAAATCCTCCACCCTTACCGCTGAGCCTGAAAGAGAAAACACCAGAGTAAGAGCTATCCTTCATTCCTGACAAAATTAATATTCACGAGAATCAGATATTTGATTCCTGGCAGCACCTGTACATAAACTCACTTTTTATCCTGCGTCCTTGGGTTTTTAGTTCTCAGAATCCTAAACTCTGCTTCAGAAAGTGACTTTTCTGAACATGCACACAAACAAAAACTTCATTACTTTGCTTTCAGAGGCAGACTACAGAAAAATAAAAAGCCAAAGATGGTAAATAACTTGTTTTCTATCCTTGCAGAGACAATTAAATAAAAAACCTTTAGAAAAATGCAGCCAGCAGACGCATTGTTGAGTATGTTTACGGTCACCTCAGTGTCTGCAGCTCTCCAAATGACAACGCAGTAAAAGTTGCAGGAATAGTGTGAAACAAGACCAAATAACAGGTTTTCACAGTTTCACAAACACCAAAAGTATGTTTTTTATTGATTTGTTTCTCCATGTGAGAAAACTTTAGAATCCTGTTAGAAACCGAATTGTTCTGACTTTGTATATTGAGTGTAGTCGCATGGGATCAGAGTGAAACATCTTTGCCAAATTGATTTTTTTCTGTCCAGCAGAGCAATTAGATTTCCTGATTTGAGACAGTTTGTCCTCATCATATAATCTATTTCTGATAAGGATTAAACAGCATCAGGTCAGCTGATAATCACCATAATGATGAAGTAAGAGAACCGACCTAAAGACCCAACTCTCCTGTAATCACATGTGTGGGTTTGATTCTCTTAAATCATGACGAACAGCATGATTTGTTCTTTTACTCTGAGCTCTGTAAAATGATTTGTCCTGATGTTAAAGCTGCAGGAGTTTCTTACTGAGTGGTTCTCAGATGGTTTTGGTGATCCTGGACCAGAAGATCTGCAGATCATCAGTGAGCTAAAGGATCAACTCCTGGACTCAGATACACTTTTCATTCATAAGGTCTCGGGAATCGCTAAGAGAACTTCAGTCTGCTGTCCTCAGGTACTACAGGAATCACTGGAATCATTGGTATTTTACTGGTATTTATATCTAAAGAAAACTTTATGGTTGTTTTGTTTAAATTTTGCCTTTTTTTCCAGCTCTGTTACTTAGTTCGGCCGCTGGCCATTTGGATCCTTTTACTTTTCCAAATTTTTGTCATTTTGTACCTTTTTGTTGTTTTGAGGAACTTTAAGTTTTATCAAATTATTCTTTCAAAGTTACTCAACATTAACTTGCTTTCACTTTTGTAATTATTTTGTAATTGTACAATCATTCTTGGTTAAATCTTTCAGGAATAACCACATGTTTAAAAACTTTATCCTTTGATCATTTGTAAAGTTGTAAATTTAATAAACATTGTTGACATTTTTGCTTTCTGACCATATAAAAATACTAAAACCGTAGGGTTCCAAAAACACAGCCTTGGGTTTCTCCGTATACAAGCTTAAGACCAAAGAAGAGACAATGATAAATTCACGAGAAGCAGCTAAAACAAGACCCCACACTTTTAAGTTTCTCTAAGGCATTTTTAAAGTAATTTTTCTTGTCTCTGTGGACTAATTATATACACTGAAAAAAGTGCCAGTCTCTCAAGATTTAATAACACTGAAAAGTGTTATCTTTAGTACTTTTCTTTGGTTCAGCTAAAGAAATGGAATCAAACTGTCTGTAAAGGGCTACTGGTAACAAAGCTCCTAAAGTTCTTATTTAGAATCTCTCTGAGGAGTTGAAATATGTTTAAATTTAGAGTCACCAATCAGTCTAACATGTATGTTTTTGGTCAGTGGGAGGAAACTGGAGTACCTGGAGAAAACCCACACATGCACGGAGAGACACCTATGTATTTGATATTTTGTTGCCTTTACAAATGATTAAAAAAGAATGATTTATGTTTTCTTCAGTTTATTCCCACAAGTGAAATTTCAATTGAGCGATATTTCAATCTGTTTTTTGTAGTTAACGTAATGTTTGTCAGATTATTGTCAAGTTAATTTCTGTCTTCTAGAGTAGACGACCGCAGATGATCTGAAAACAACTCATTTACCGACATGCCCACCACATAACCTGCAACATTTAGGGGGAACAGATTCATGTTTTCATTAAGGGCAAACAAACTCCAAGTTGAACATTTTGGAGTCTGATCAGAACTTCTTTTTGCATGTTTCTTTTATAAAATGTTTCTTTTCCTAGTTTATGAGTTCAGTTTGGCTTAACGTTAATTTATTTGTCCAATATGCAAATGTCAAAAATATCAAATGGCATCATCTGTATGTTTCTCAGCTTTTAACACAAAGCTGCTGTAAATATTTGAAAGATCTTGATGATCGAGATGTTACTGATCCAACATTATGGAGATCTTGAATGTTAAAGGCCTGTTCTGTTGATGTTTGCTTCAGAATATTCTGTTTAGATTATTGGGTTTTTATGTAAACTGGTGGATTTAAGATCCTTTATTCTAATCTACATCTGTAATAGTGTTGTCAGACCCCCCCCCCCCCCCACACACACACACACACACACAGATACACTCCCCCACCATTATAACTGTATACATTACATGCTAAGTTCATAGGACCATGTTAGATGTGCACGGGGGTCGCATTTTGCCCGCGGGTCGTCACTTGATGATCTCTGTGTTTGCATCAGAATGGTCACCTGTCAGTCAGATCCACATAAACCACCTTCCTGTTTCCAGAGCGCGTGAGGACGAGGAGGAGGATGGAGGGAGCGACGATGGACCCCTCCTGCCGCGGGCACGAGGCGAACTGCTCGGCCACGCGCGCCACCGAGACCCTGGTTCTGACCGCATCCTCGGAGTGGAGCGACCCCGGCTCGGCTGCGGACGCGCACCGGCTCCTGGACCTGCAGCTGCCCGCCGCGGGCCCCCCAACGGTGAGACTGGTGCTGTGACTGCGCCTTTATGGCTCCAGTTTAATATGTCAGGATTTACCTGTTTACCACCTGCAGGCACGTTGTTTCCTTCCTCTGAACACGTGAGCTATAGTTAATGAGGCTTTAATGCAAACATTCTTGTTTTAAGAAATCTTCATGACAACCTGGTTTGAACAGTAATGAGTAAAAACTGCATTTTTTTTTTGTTACCTTCCCTGAGCTCTGACAGGTGTTTAAATGCAGTTTCTCATTAGACTGACTTTTACATTTATTGAGTGAAATATTATTGAGCTAATTATTGATCCGATGTAATGACCTGATTCACTCTGGCAGCTGCAGACAACAAGAACAGATGTTGTCAAAGTGAGCACTTAACGTTGATGTGGAGGAATTTTATGACTGGAGGCAGTTAAAGTGCATATTTTATCCGCTGGGGTTTGAGTTTAATTATTATTGAACCTTTATTCCATCACACCCTCACTGGGAGATGTAGAGAACATGAATGCTTGTGTGTGTTCTTTTCTTTGTACTGTTAGCACAATATCTCATGAACTACTGAACAGATTTTACTGAAACTTTCGGAAAATTATCCACGGGTGTACATCTATCTACAAGTGGTTATCTTTTGCTTTCAATAAAATTCGAGCTAGCTGCCACAGCCAATAGCCCTATTTCAGGGAATTTAACACATATTGACTTAAAACTTGGTGTGGCAGTATAGCTGAGAGTCTCACAACATACACTCCAAGTACAAACAGAACATGACAAACATTGCATGATCACCTGAGACTGAGCCTAATACTATTTTCAAGGTTTAACCAAACTGTCATTTCTCATCGTACGCTGAGCTCAGTCTGCTCTCTCATAAAAAGCTGGGTGGTATGCATTTCTTCAAGGGTGGGCTGTCTTTATGGAAGTCTTTGAAACTGCAGTCCACCTTGTTGTGAAGCTGGCTGTGTGGTATCATCAGCCACACACAAAGTGTTGCAGGGTTCTGTGCGATCTGTCTGCTTCTCTGAGCTGCACACATGTCCTGCATGGTTTTCATACAGACTGCCAATGATGGACTGATAAATCAGCTCACTGTCCTCTCAAGTTTTTTGTGTTTGTGTGTGTGCATGTGTGTGTGCATGTGTGTGTGCATATATTGATGTGTTCTCAGAACATGAGTCGATGCACAACTGATGGAGTGCATCCTGTTGTTTCACCCTCAGTCCAACACATTCCACTGAACATCAGCTTTTTAAAATGATGCAGTGATGTGCGGCTATTTCAACTCTTCTTTCTCTGATTATGATAAATAGAAGGTTTTTAAATGAACAGGTTGAACATTAAACAATTTATTTCATACAACAAAAGAGTTTTTGAATTTAATGATCAGGCATCATTGGGCCCCAGGTCTTCACATAAATCAACTTCATATTTCTGGTCAAGCTTGTATGTATTTCAGAAAGTGGCGGAAAGTGTGGATTTATTTGTTTATTTATTAACCTTTATTTAACCAGGCAAATCTCATTGAGATCACAGAACTCTTTTGCAAGGGAGGACTTGGCCTGAAGGCAGCCTAAATTGCATGTTTTTGATCTGTGGGAGGAAACCAGAGTACCCGGAGAAAACACACACAAGCATGAGAAGAACATGCAAACTCCGCACAGAAAGACCCCAGGTTCAATTGGGGATTGAATCCAGGACCTTCTTGCTGTGAGGCAACAGTGCTAATCACTTAGCCATCGTGCTCATTGAAAAATTTTATATTGAAAAATATAAAACACATGAAGCATTTAAACCACAGAAAATAGTCATAAAACCCTATCCATTTAATACATTTCTTAAACCATATTGGATGTTTTTTGGAATAGATCTTTCATTTTGCATTTAGAGCCTGTACTTACAACAGAGATATAGAACATCCATTCATCCATTACTTCCGCTTGTTCTTGTCCTCCCACAGAAAATTTTTGAATAAAGTACATGTCATTTCCTGCATTTTGGTGTATTTTAATGGGTTGTTAAACATCTATGTTTACATACATTTGTAAACACTCACTTGACGGAACCATCAGGTAAGTCGGGCTTGGAACTGAGCCTGACTGTCCCTGCTCATTGTTGTCCGACTCCACATGTGAAACCTCCAGGCGCCTGCCTGTGAGCTCCTGCCCCTGTATGACTGTCTGGTTAACTTGGCACTCACACCCACCACTCTTTTAAGGGCAGAGATTTTGTTAAGGTTAGATGTGGAAATGCTTCTTCAAGAGGCAGCTTATATGCTGTTGTGTTGGTGTTTGTGTAATTATTTTCCATTTACATATCCAGTATAAGTTTAATGAATTCCAGACAGTCGTATTTGGTCATAACTTTATTATTAGTATGCCTGAGAGTTATTGGATTCAAGCAAACAGTTACCGGAGCACACCCTGTCAAAATAAGAAAGCTCCCGTATGCTGTTCTGGTAGGAACAGAGACTGACCGGTAAACAGAGAACTTTGCCGTGCAGTTCAGCAAGCTTTTGACCACAACAGACTGGCACAGAGTCTGCAATAATGCAGAGCTGCACTGATCCATCTGTCAATTTCCTGCTCCATTCTTCCCTTACTCATGAAGATATTTGAACTCATCCACTTGAAGCAGAACCACACTCCCAACCTGAAGAGAGCAATACACCCTTTTCCGACTGAGGACTAAAGCCTCACATTTGGAAGTGTTGATCCTCATCCCAGCCTCTTCACACTCAGCTGCAAACCACTATAGTGAGAACTGAAGATCATGGCATGATGATGCCAACAGAACTACATCATCTGCCAACAGCAGATGGAACCCAGAGGCCACCAAACCAGACTCCCTCTGCCCTCTGGCTTCACTGAGAAATTGTGTCCATAAAAATTAGGAACAGAATCAGAGACAATGAGCAGCCTGGGCAGAATCCAGTTGGGGTTTTCAACTTACTTCTGGCAATGCGAACCAAATTCTTGCACTGCTTGTATAGAGATAGAACAGCTGTAGCAATGGACCCCAAATCCCATACTCACAGAGCACCCCCCGCAGTGTACCTTGAGGTCGAGGAACACAGTTGAATACCTTTTCCAAGTCCACAAAAAATGTGCAGACTGGATGGGCAAACTCCCATAACCCCTTTGAGAACTTCAGTGAGTGTAAAGAGCTAGTCCAATGTTCCATGGCCAGGACAAAACCTGCATTTTTCCTCCTGAATCCAAAGTTCGACCATTGATTGGACCCACTTCTTCAGTATCCCTGAATAGACCTTACAGGGGAAGCTAAGGAGAGTGATGCTCTTATAATTGGGACACACCCTCTGGTCCCCTCTTTGGAAAAGGGGAACCAACACTCCAGTATACCAATCCAGTGGCACTGCCCCTGGTGCCCACACAATATTGTGAATGCATATCAACTAGACAGCCCCACAACATCCAGAGCCTTGAGGAGCTCAGAGTGAATCTCATTCACTACCGGAGCCCTGCCACTGTAGAGCTTTTTAACTACCGCCATGACCGCAGCCCCGCCTTTGGACCGACCAACCCCTAAGTACCACAACTCAGCTTTTTCCATGGAAGACTTGCCAATGGGATTGTACAGGTCTGAGAAGTGTTCCTTCCACCTCTACACAATGTCTCTGGTTGAGGACAACAGCTCCCCACCTTCACTAAACAGCATGTTGATAAACTGCTGCTTTCCCATCTCAGTCACTTGATGGTTTTGCCAGAATCTACTCAGAGCTGATCAAGAGTCTCTATCAAAGGCCTCATCAAACTCCTCCCACAACCTAGCTTTTGTTTCAGCAACAGCCATGGCTGCAGGCTGTTTGGCTTGTCAATTCTCCTAAGCTGCATTCAGAGTCCTACCAGCCAACAAGACCTAATAGGACTCCTTCTTCAGCTTGATGGCGTTCCTAACAAGGAGTGTGGATGACCACCAAAACCTTGCAGTCACAGCTTGAGGCAGCAGCCTCAATTCAATTCAATTCAATTCAGTTTATTTATATAGCGCCAAATCACAACAAAGTTGTCTCAGGGCACTTTACAGAAACATTCACATACATGAAATACCCAATTAGTAAAGTTCTCGATCTAAGGAATACAGCTGACAAGTTGAATCTTGGCTTCGTTGCAGTCTCCCATCCTGAGCAAGCACAATGGAGGCATGGAACATGGCCCACTCTGACTCTAAGGGAGAGCCCAGACACCCTGTGGAGAAAACTCATTTCGGCCGCTTGTATCCAAGATCTCATTCTTTCGGTTACAACCCAAAGCTCATGACCATAGAAGAGGGTAGGAACGTAGATCGATCGGTAAATTGAGAGCTTCGCCTTTTGACTCAGCTCTCTCTTCACCACGGCAGACCTGTACAGCGCCCGCTTCACTGCAGATGCTGCACCTATCCGCCTATCGATCTCACGCTCCAGTTTTCCCTCATTCGTGAACAAGACCCCAAGAAACTTGAACTCCTCCACTTGGGGCCGGACCTCCTCCCTGACCTGGAGAGGGCACTCTACCCTTTTCCGGCTCAAGACCATGACCTCAGATTTGGAGGAACTGATCTTCATCCTGGCTGTGTCACACTCGGCTGTGAACTGCTCCAGCGAAAGCTGTAGATCATGATCTGATGAAGCCAATAGGACCACATCATCTGCAAAAAGCAGAGACGCGATCTTAAGGCCACCAAAACAGATCCCCTCAACACCTAGGCTGCACCTAGAAATTCTGTCCATAAAAGTTATGAACAGAATTGGTGACAAAGGGCAACCTTGGCTGAGTCCAGCTCTCACCGGGAATGAGCCCGACTTACTGCCGGCAAAGCGGACCAGGCTCTGACACCGGTCATACAGGGACCTAACAGCCCATATCAAAGGGCCTGGTACCCCATACTACCAGAGTACCCCCAAAGGGTTCCCCGAGGGACACGGTCGAACGCCTTCTCCAAGTCCACAAAGCACATGTAGACCGGTTGGGCGAACTCCCACGCACCCTCCAGGACCCTACTGAGAG